GGAGCATCAGAAGTTCAAGCTCATCCATGGCTACACAGTGAGAGGCCAGCCTAGGCGCAATCAGACCCTATTTCAGTGTCCTCCCGACAAACACCAAGGAAGTTTAGGATATTTTGCTGATGCCATACATTATTACCTGGCCATTACTTCATAGTTAATAGTTCCCAGGTTCTTTAATAATTCTTTTTCTTTTTTTTCTTTTTTTCATCCTATGATGGATAAGGAATTTCTTTTTATTCTTTGAAATTTTCACACATTTATGTAATGTATTTTGATCATATCCATCCACTGCTCCCTTCCTCCAGCTCCCCCAGTGCCCACTGACCTTGTGTCTCTCAGTTTCATGTTCTCCTGGTTTTTACCCGTTTGCTTTGTTTTTTCATGCATTCAAACAAAAAGCTTCTTCCCTAAGAATGGGATCATATTATTTGTTTTTCAACCCCCTTTTATGGCCTTTTGATTTTATTGTTTATTTGTTTGTTTTCATTTTTTTTTTTCCAAGACAGGATTTTCCCCTGGTTGTCCTGGAACTTGCTCTGTAGACCGGTTAGCCTTTAACTCAGAGGTCTGCCTGCCTCTGCTTCCCAAGGGCTGGGATTAAAGGCGATCACTACCATGCCTACTTCCAGCCCTTTTCAGACAGTACATAATGGGTTGGGTGAGACGGCTAAATGAATAAAGGTGCTTGCCACCAAATCTCACAGCCTGAGTTCAGTCTCTGGAGCTCATTTGGTAGGCGAGAACAGATTCCTACAAATTGTTTTGATTTCCACACACATGTGGTGTGTGCGTGTGCATTCACACAAGAATAAACAAATGTAACAATGTTTGTTTTTGTTTGTTTTTTTTTCGAGACAGGGTTTCTCTGTGGCTTTGGAGCCTGTCCTGGAACTAGCTCTGTAGACCAGGCTGGTCTCGAACTCACAGAGATCCGCCTGCCTCTGCCTCCCGAGTGCTGGGATTAAAGGCGTGCGCCACCATCGCCCTGCTGGCACCAGATCTCATTACAGGTGGTTGTGAGCCACCATGTGGTTGCCAGGAATTGAACTCAGGACCTTTGGAAGAGCAAACAATGCTCTTAACCACTGAGCCATCTCTCCAGCCCCCCAAATGTAATGTTTTTAACATTAAAAAATAAATTAGAAAGAAACTTAGAAAAAGCTAGCTCCAGCAATTAAACAATTCTTGTGCTAACATAGAAGCTAAATAAAAACAAGGTACACTTTAAAAACTTTTCAGTAGCACAACCAGGTGACCCAAAATGGTATATAAATCAGTAACATCTCAGGGTTAGAGAGGGAGGTAGAAGTTGTCAGCATTGTTTCTGTGCATGGAACGTTTAAATAACCTCCCCAGTTTTCTGCCTTGTCCCAGAAGACAAGTGTTAACAGGCCATTCTCCCAGCTTTAAGCTTGCAGTGAGGATTCTAGCACACCATGTGATTTGTCCAGAGAGTTAAGCATGCAACCTTGCATAGTGTTTAGAGGCTTATTACAACCTATCTCAACCTTCCCATTTACAAAATGATATCTCCCCTTTGAGCCATTAATCCTGAATATACACGTGTGCATGAGTACGTGCGTGAATGTGTGTCTGCTGTTGTTTGTTCAGAGATGTTTGTGCTAGATGATTATACCAGGCTCTGTTCAGATGGTGCTGACCAAATTAATTCCTTTGAAAGGTTATTGATAGCCTACACTATATAAAATCTTGTGTATGAACTACCTTAAGTCTATAGAAATATTGAAACTTAGAATATGACTGAATCATTTATAGATTGATGGAAGACACTGGCTTATAAATAAAATTGGGTATTGTCTTCCATATTCATTGATTATTAGAATTAAGACTGTCCGATGTGGAACTGAGGAAACTTTCTTCAGGTAACATTTTATAAATGGTCAGAAAGTAATATTTATTTTTATATATGTATTTTATCAAACACATATATCTAATATGTATATATATCAAATGTGTATATATATCAAATATATATCATATATCTATATTTATATGTGTGTGTGTGTAGGTCAGAGGGTGACCTTGGGCATTGATTCTTTTTCCCTTTCTAGCTTGATTTTGAGGAACGATATTTTTTGCATTTGCTGCATATGGTCCAGGCAAGCTGTCCTGTCAGGTTTCAGAAACCTTTCAGATGAGACTCTTTCACTCTGTATGTTCCTCATGTCCCTGCCTCCCATGCCACTGAAGGCATGCTGGGGTTACAGACGTATGCTACTGTTTCCAGCTTTTACAGTGGGGTCTGAGGATCTGAACCCAATCATCAGACCTGCATGGCAAGTGCTTTTGCTCACCTAGTCATTTCCCTGGCCCACAGTTTATTTTTTATTTTATTTATTTACTTATTTACTTTCTTAATTTTTTTGTTTTGTTTTTTGTTTTTTGAGATAGGGTTTCTCTGTAGCTTTGGGGCCTGTCCTGGAACTAGCTCTTGTCGACCAGGCTAGCCTCAAACTCACAGAGATCCTCCTGCCTCTGCCTCCCGAGTGCTGGGTTTAAAGGCGTGCACCACCACTGCCCAGCTATCTTTTTGGTTTTTTGAGATAAGGTTTCTTTGTGTATCCCTGGCTGTCCTAGAACTCATTCTATAGATCAGGCTGACCTCAAACCTGGAGATCCACCTGCCTCTGCTTCTTGAGTGCTGGGTTTAAAGGTGTGCACCACCATTGCCCAACAAAAATTTTTTTGAGATTTTATTTATTTATTTATTTATTTATTTTATTTTCTTTGGATTTTCGAGACAGGGTTTCTCCGTAGCTTTTTGGTTCCTGTCCTGGAACTAGTTCTTGTAGACCAGGCTGGCCTCGAACTCACAGAGATCTGCCTGACTCTGCCTCCCGAGTGCTGAGATTAAAGGCGTGCGCCACCACTGCCCGGCTGAGATTTTATTTTTTTATGAGTATGTTTGTTTGCCTGAATGTACATATGTGTGCCATGTGTGCAGTCTCCACAGGGCCCAGAAGAGAGGGCATTGGACTGGGACTGGGGTTACAAACAACTACCATGAGGGTGCTGGGAATTGAACTTAGTTCCTTTGGAAGAGCAGCCAGTGTTCTTAACCACTGTGCCATCTCTGCAGACCCCAGAGTTTATTTTATTTTATTAGATTTTATTTATTTATTATGTCTACAGGATTCATGCCTGCATGCCAGAAGGCACCAGATCTCATTGTAGATGGTTGTGAGCCACCATGTGGTTGCTGGGAATTGAACTCAGGACCTCTGGAAGAGCAGCCAGTGTTCTTAACCTCTGAGCCATCTCTCCAGCCCCCAAGAGTTTATTTTTAAGAGTAGTTTTAGGTTCACAACAAAATTGAGAAGATACAGAGGTTTCTCGGGTATCTCCTTTGTTTACATGTCTCTGACCTTTCCATTGCTGCCACAGAGCAGTGCCCTTGTTAGACTTCTTTATCTCTTTGTGTGTGTGTGTGTGTGTGTGTGTGTGTGTGTGTGTGTGTGTGAACATGCATAGATCTCTCTTGAGGACTTAACTGCTAGGCAAGCAGTCTCTACCCCTGAGCTACATTCCTGGGCCCCTTTGTTGTAATTGATGAATCCACATGTACACATCACTGTCACTCAGAGTCTATAGCTGACATTAGGATTCACTCTGGGGGTTGTGTAATTACTCATGTCTACCATCCTCGTGTCCTAGGAATAGACTCACCATCGTATCTGTCCTCTGTCCTCTATCTAGTCATCTCTTTCTCACTTGTATCCTTTCAATGGGCTTCTACACTTTGTAGCATTCTCCTTACTAATATTCCTCATGGTGTTTCATGGCTTACTAGCTCATTTATAGTGTTGACTCATTTCCTGTTGTCTTGACACATCAGTTTATTTATCCACTTACCTTATGAAGGACATCTTGGTCATCACTAAGCTTTGGGAATCATGATTAGAGCTGCTGTAAACAACCAGGCTTTTCCGTGGACTTAAGTTTCTACCTCCTTTGGGTAAATACCAAATGTGCTGGCTGGGACAAGGGAGAATTCTCTTCTTATAAGAAAAGAGTTCTTGGGACTGGATTTATAGTAAAGCCCTTGCCTTGTATTCTGCAAGGCCCTGGGTTTGCTTGACAGTTCTGAATTTTAAAAAAGAAAGAAAAAGAAAGCCAGTAACAAAAACCTATAATCCCAGCACTTAGTAGGTAGAAGAATTAGGAGAATCAGTCATTCATGGCCATGCTCAGCTGTGTATCCAGTTGGAGGCTAGCCTGGGCTATATGAGACTTGCATCTCAAATGACAAGTAGAGTATTTGTCTAGCACACAGGAAGCCCTGAGTTTGATTTCCTCACATAAATTGGGCACGGTGACATATACCTGTTAATCTAACACTTGGGAATTGAAATCAGGAAGAAGAGAAGAAGTCCACGACAATCTTTAAAGATATAACAAGTTCAAGGCTCACCTAGGCTATATGAGTATATAAGTCTGTCTCAAAAAAAAAAAAAAAAGAAAAAGAAAAGACTTGATAATATGCATATAAAATACTTAGAAGCTTCTGCATTGCTAAGGTCCTGAAGGTGCTGGGTGGAGTAGAGAGCGCTATATCCTCATGCAATGTCTGCTCCATCTTGTCATTTGACTGTCACTGTATCTTTCCAAACATCTTTTTTTGTTTGTTTTTTTGAGACAGGGTTTCTCTGTAGCTTTTGGAGCCTCTCCTAGAACTAGCTCTTGTAGATCAGGCTGGCCTCGAACTCACAGAGATCCACCTGCCTCTGCCTCCCAACTGCTGGGATTAAAGGCATGTGCCACCACTGCCTGGCTTCTTTCCAAACATCTTATATAAACTGGCAAATGTAAAACAAGTCAGAAAAGTATAGAGCACCACTCTTGCTACACAGAAGCAGCCAGTATGTTCTCATGATCCTGAACATGATAAGACGTAGACATATGTAGACATAAGACGTATGGATTTTACATTTGTTTCTTACCCCATCACTGATGCTAATGCTAATTTCCTTCTTTGGTAGGTAGTGGACTTTGTAGCAGCAACACTGCAGAGGGCGTGCGCAAGTCTGGCTCATCAGGCAGAGAGCACTGTGGAATCTCAGACACTGAGCCTGTCAATGGGGCTGGTGGCTGTCATGCTGGGAGGGGCTGTTCAGGTGAGTTGTAGGTATGAGCGAAACTTGAATTTTTGAGTAGGGACGAGAACCTGCTGCCTTTCGTCCATACCTTCATGGACAACAAGAATCGATACTGCACTCAGGAGAACCAGGATGACCAACTTGGGTTGTTAATGAGTGTTATCTCTAACATAGAATGCCACTTCACATTGACCTGCCAGCATGTCACCATCAAATGAACAGGGCTCTTTCCTGCATAGAACAAACTTGTTTTGGAAACTTTGAGTGTTTTGTGCCTGAGGCAGACGTTCAGTTCTCTGACTCCAAAGAGTTGGTGGGAAATCCTTAGCAACTGCTTGGCTGCTCAGATGGCACCTGTTTTGCACGGTTCCACTTAGCTCAGGACCCATCGTTTAGCCCATACAGTGCAATATACTCAAGCCTGCTGTCAGTCATTTTTAAGAGTTTTGTTTTGGCCAGGTGGTGGTGGCGCATGCCTTTAATCCTAGCACTCGGGAGGCAGAGGCACACGGATCCTCTGAATGCAAGGCCAGTCTGATATACAGAGCGTGTTCTAGGACTGGCTCCAAAGCTACAGAGAAACCCTGTCATGAACTTCCCTCCTCCCCAAAAAGAGTTTTGTTTTGTTTTGTTTTTGTTTGAGGCAGAGTCTCATGTAGCCTAGGCTGGGCTTGAATTTAATATGACATTGATGCTATTCCTTCCTGCCTCCCAGGCATTAGGATGGTAGGTGTGCACCATTATGGCCAGCTTAGTTTATGTGGTTTTTACATAGTTAATTTGTAGTTTTTAAAATCTATTTCTAGGGGGCTGGAGAGATGGCTCAGAGGTTAAGAGCACTGGCTGCTCTTCCAGAGGTCCTGAGTTCAATTCCCAGCAACCACATGGTGGCTCACAATCATCTGTACTGAGATCTGGCACCCTCCTTTAGCGTGCGGGCATACATCGAGGCAGAATGTTGTATACATAATAAATAAATCTTAAAAAAAAAATAAAAAAATAAAATCTATTTCTATTTTTAAATTGTGTGAGTGTGTATGTGTGTGTCTATGTGTACACGAGTGCGGGTGCCTGCTGAGGCTAGACGATGGTGTCAGAGCCCCTGTGAGCTACCTGATGTGGGTCCTGGGAGCCAAGCACACAGGTCCTCTGCAAGAGCAGTCCACTGCCATCCTTCCAGCCCTAACATATAATTTTTAATTTATTCATTCAACCACTATTGACTGCATATTTGACACATGATAGATCTGAGAACATAGCAGTGGACAAGACAGACGTGGCCTATAGCTCACGCCATAGTCCAGGAAGAGAGGCACACCCAGAATGACCATTTTAAAATATGATTAGAATCGAATGGAATGCCCCAAAAAAGAGGGAAGGGGCCACAAGAACATAACATCTAAGCGAGGCTGAGAGATCTTCAGTGAGCGAAAATATTCCACTAAGACCTGAAGGAGGCATAAGTGTTTGAGTGTGGCGTGCATGGAACAGGTGGAAGAATCCTTTCAGTTAAGGAAACTCGTGGCAAAGGCTCAGAAGCAGAGAAAGCTTGGTTTTTTTGAGCATTGATGGAAAGCCAGCGTAACTGAGCTGCAGAGCCCTGGGGACAGCCCTGGCAAAGGCTAGAGCACGCTGGTCAGGTGACACAGTAGGTTAGGAGGCTGCAAGAAAGCAGGACAGTCTCAGAACAGGTTATGAAATCAGACTCAACAACCATGAGCAGGAGCCCCTGGGAATGCATTTTGAGTCTAAGCATTCAAATCAGATTTGATTCTTGATGGATTAGAATTTGCCTTTCTCTTATTTTTTTGCTCTGTGCTTCTGGAGATCAAACTCAGGGTCTTTCACTCCCCCCTGTGCTCCATCTCCAGCCTTCTGAGAAGCATACCCGGCTAGCCTGTGTCCCAGACTACAGCCTTGTTTCAGTGTCGAAAGGTGGCTCCCTCCTGCCTGTTCTTAAGGAGAAAAAGACTTTATCTGGGCTGGTTGTCAGTGCAAATCCCATTTCTTACTGGATTTCCTTAGCATTCCTAATTTTATATTTCACATGTCATTTGACAAAATAAGTTTGGCTTTGGTTCCAGAGCCATATTAGATGTGACAAGGAAGGGTTCACAGATGGAATAGCTTAAGTTGAATTGTTAGTGGATTTAATTAGCTTAGTTGAGTTTTGTTTTTCTTGTTGAATATTAATTTTGATAGTCTATACATTGAAAGCCTAGCTTGTGTGTGTGTGTGTGTGTTGTAGTTTAGTACTTATTTCAGACAATATAACACATGGACAATGAACCACAGAGCTCTCCCATATCCCTTCTAGAAGCTTCTTCTTGGAGGCTGCTGTATTCACTGGCCAGGCCTGGCTTGTGGCGTTTGGACAGCACTTGCCTGTCCCTGCCCTGCTGTGAGCCATCCTGATTCCCTTGACTCTGCAGTTTAAGTGAACTCTTTACTTATGCCCCAGATTTGCTAAATTTTTGTTTCCTGCTTGATTAATGCATTAATAGGTTTTTTTTTTTTTAAAGATTTTATTTATTACATATACAATACAGTATTCTGCTGCCATGTATGCCTGCATGCCAGAAGAGGGCACCAGATCTCATTTTAGATGGTTGTGAGCCACCATGTGGTTGCTGGGAATTGAACTCAGGACCCCTGGAAGAACAGTCAGTGTCCTTAACCTCTGAGCCATCTCTCCAGCCCCGAGACAGGGTTTCTCTATAGCTTTGGAGCTAGCTCTGGAACTAGCTCTTGTAGACCAGGCTGGCCTTGAACTCACAGAGATCCGCCTGCCATTTATAAGTTTTTTCCCCTGTTCTTTTGAGACAGGTTTCTCTGTGTAGCCCTGGCTGTCCTGGAACTTGCTCTGAAGACCATGAACTCATGTCTTGCCTCTGTCTCCTGAATGCTGGGATTAAAGGCATGTGCCACCACACCTGGCAAGGGCTTCTTTTTTACATTTTATTTTAGATTTATTTTATTTTATGTGTATGAATATTTTACCTCCATATATTTATATGTACCACATGTGTACCCAGTGCCCAAGGAGAAGAGGGTTTTAGGATTTCCTGGAACTGGAGTTTGGATGGATCTGAGCCACCACATGGGTGCTGAGAATTTGAGTTCGGTTCTCTGGAAGAGTAACCAGTGCTCTTAACCACAGAGCTCTCTCTCTCCAGCCCTGCAAAAGCTCTTTAGTAATGCTAGGTTTTGTCTCGTATTCACAATAAAATCACACTTGAAAACTGGGGGTAGTTGACTACTGTCACTCTGAGTCTTTGCTTTAGAGCCTGGAACACCATGCTCTACATACTCCCTGTTAGGAGTCATTGTTTTGGCTAATGAAACAGAACCTAACAGCATCGGGCCTTTCTTCATTCCTTTCTAAGTCATGTAATTAAGGTGACTATTAAAACTTCACGTCCGGGAAGAGAGTTAATTTGGAGAAAGTGCAGGTTTAAGATTGCTAACAAGACGACTGTAATTCCATACTCACTTTCTAAATTCCAGGCTTGGTCATCAGTAAAAGTAGCACACTGGGGAGTCTCTCCTGTCCCCTTAGGTTAGGGAGCAGTTTCTGCTTGATGTTGCAGAGCTGGTGGGCCCACTGTTGCCCTGGTTGGTGAAGCTGAATAGACCATTCTAGCCTTAGGATACACTGAAGCCATATTGTGCCAGGGTAGCAGTGGAATGTATTGCTAAAGGCTGGACTCCTAACCTTTAAGCCCGGATGTTTTAGTGAGGTTCATTAGTTAGATACCAAAGGTGTATCTTTTCTCTAAAGGGACAGTCGTCTTTAGCTGTTTAGGTCTTCTTGTGTCTTTCCTTTCCCTTTGTTCCTTCCATTCATTCATACTTTCTACCTTTCTTTCTTTCCAAAGGCTATTATTGCTTAATAGTAAAAGAAAGTTTCCCTAAGGACTATAGAGATGCCTTAGAGGTAAAGAGCTCTTGTTGCTCTTGTAGCATGGTTCGTGGCACCCACATGGTGCCTCACAACCATCTATAACTCCAGTTCCAGGGGACCTGATGCTCTTTTCTGGTCTCCAGAGGCACTGCACTCCTTCACTGGACTGGACATGCTCTCTATAGAAGATCATTCATTCTTAATTGCTGTTGTCACTCGAGCAGGCATTTCCTGCTTTCTGGTCATTGTTAATAAGCCTGCTACAGCAGCTAGTAAACAGCATGGATGGATGGACAAATGGCAGGAAGAAAAAAGAAAGGAGAAGAGTATTTTTAGGTAAGGAGGCAGTTTTGTTTTTTTCTTATTTTTTCTCTTCTTTTTAAATGTTTATCAAAGGGCATAGGCTTTTAAAAGTTTAAAAATATTGCCCTTTCCCTTACTGGGCAATTCTCAGATATCAGTACACCATGGATGTGTGGGGAACATTTGTCATGTGTTGCTGCAGGAGAAGAAGACCACACATAGTGTTTTCACGGGCATTTTTGTTTGTTATTTCCTAGGAAGCCTAAATGTTTCTCAGAATTTCAAGCATTTATAGGTAGGTGGTCATTGCCTGTAAAAACCCTTATTTAGAATGCACAGTACCTTCAACCAGGACCCTGCACAAGCTAAGATACTGCTATATACCATTTGTACATCAAAGCTAAAGGAAGATCCTAGGTGTCTTGCTCTCTCACTCTCTGCCTATTCCCTTGAAGCAGAGTCTCTCCTTGTCTCTCCCTCCCAGCTCTGAGAGCAGGCACATGTGCAGCCATTCCCAGATTTTACATGGCTGTTGAGGATTCAAACTCGAGTCCTCGTACTTACTCAGTGAATGCTCTTACCTGCCGAGCCATCTGCTCAGTCCCTAATTTTACATCTTTTCAGAAAATGATCTTTCAGCATCAATAATATGACTCAGCAGACAAAGGCACTAGCTACACAAACCTGAAGACCTGATTTTAATCCCTTAAACTCTTGTAAAAGGGGAGGAAGAGAACCAACTCCACAAAATTGCCCTCTGACCTACAGTTGCTTGAAGAGGCACTGTGCCCCACAGCAATACACATGCACAAATATATAAATTTTTTTTTTTCGAGACAGAGTTTCTCTGTGGTTTTTGGAGCCTGTCCTGGAACTAGCTCTTGTAGACCAGGCTGGTCTTGAACTCACAGAGATCCGCCTGCCTCTGCCTCCCGAGTGCTGGGATTAAAGGCGTGCGCCACCCGCTTCACAAATACATTTTTAAATGATCTCTTAGTTATATAAAGACTAGTTGTCTGCAGTGCCTTCTGCATTTGAGATTAGGCCATCTAAATATGGAATTATCTTCATTGTGTTCATTTATAAACGTTGTTAAAGATATTCAGAGTCTTATTTCTGTTGTTACCAGTGTCCTGCGAAGGTTTTTTTTTTTTTTTAATTTGCTTTAAACTATTACAGATTTGATGTAAATGCTTCCAAGAACATCTAGCCAGGTATGGTGGTACACACCTTTAATCCCAACACTTGTGGGGCTGGGGGCAGAGGCGAGGAAACGTCTATGAGTTCAAGGCCAGTTTGGTCTTCCTGGTGAGTTCCAGGACCGCCAGTACTCTGTAGAGAGACCCTGTCTCAAAAAACAAAAAACACCGGGCAGTGGTGGCGCATCCTGTGATCCCAGCACTCAGGAGGCAGAGACAGGCAGATCTCTGGGAGTTCAAGGGCAGCTTAGTCTACAAAGCAAGTTCCAGAACAGCCAGAGCTCTTACATGGAAAAACCCTGCTTCTGAAAAAGAAAAACAAACAAACACCCAACAAAACAAAAAGATATAGAATCTTTCAGGACTGCCAACACCCAAAAATCTAGTAGAAATAAGTATTTTTTAAGAGTCCTTTATTACTTATTTATATGTGTATATAAGAGTATATATGCACATGTGTGTACATGTGTGTACAGAGGCCAAAACAGGGTATGAAGTGTCCTGTATCATTCGATTTATTGCTTTGAGACAGGATCTCTCTGCTATGCTAGACATCAGGGAGCCCTAATAATCCTCCTGTTTCCATCCTACCTGGAGCTAGGATTATAGGTGTGCATGGAAAATGCAGTTTCTGTGTGGATGCTGGGATTCGAACTTTGGTCCTCTTGATTATGCAGCAGGTGCTCCTAACTCAGGAACCACCTCTTCAGTCCCAGGAAGCAGTATTAAAGGATGGTTTTTAGGCAAAATGTAATTTTCTTTTGTTTTTGTTTTGTTTTGTTTTGTTTTGAGACAGGTTTTCTCTGTAGCTTTGGAGCCTGTCTTGGTTCCAAATTTTGTAGACCAGGCTGGCTTTGGACTCATGAAGATCTGCCTTTCTCTGCCTCCTGAGTGTTAGGATTAATTAAAGGTATGCACCACTACTGCTCAGCTAAAATTTAATTTTTATATTCCAAAATATGACTTTTTGTTTATTTTATTTTATTTTTTTGATACAGAATCCCAGGCTGTTTTTGAATTTATGTAGCCCTAGCTAGTCTTGAACTCAGGGTAGCTCTCCTCCAGACTCCCCATTGTGATGACAGACATGAACCACACTGCCTGGCCTGTAGCGTCTTCACTTTACACTGTGTTCTGGTTTGTGATTCTGGGCATTCTTCTTAAGTGTCTGTTTCAAATGTAGGAACTAATTGGCACTTTATCTCAGGGCTACTGTTATGTGTGCTTGTTAACTTAGAAAAGTGCCTGTATGTGGACGGTGTTCAATAAATGTTAGCTGTAATTAGTTAGCAAATAGTTCTTCAGTGTTTGTCCTTGCACTGTGCCGATTGCACCATGAACATGCCATGATTGTTACTCCTTATATTCACTTCTTAACATTTTACACATTCATTTTGACTTACTGTTTTTAAATTTTCATTTTATAGTTGAAGTCAAGTGATTTTGCAGTCCTGAAGCAGCTGCTGCCTCTGTTGGAGAAGGTCTCTAATACATACCCTGACCCTGTCATCCAAGAACTCGCTGTTGATCTCCGAATTACCATCTCTACTCACGGAGCCTTTTCCACGGAGGCTGTCAGCATGGCTGCCCAAAGTACCCTGAACAAAAAAGACCCGGAATGGAAAATAGAGCAGCAACAAACCAGTCATGACACACTCACAGAAGTAGCTCCAGACCACCCGAAACAAGAGCAGGACCCTCCTAAAACAGACCAGGAGTCTCATGAGCCTGGCATTGCGGCAAGTCAGCCACATAGAAACATAACCTCAGAACAGTTCCAGGAGGTTCTCTTATCAGCCTGTGATCCCCAGATTCCAACCCGGGCTGCTGCCCTGCGCACTCTTTCCCGCTGGGTAGAGCAGAGAGAAGTGATAGCCCTCAAGGATGAAAAGAAGCTTCTCCAGGTGAGTAGAACACACTGCCCTCCATGTGATGACACGGTGCAGACAGCAGCCCAGAACAGACATTCATTTCAGGGGCTTTGTTGAGACAGGATTTTACTGTGGAGCCCTGGTTGGCCTTGAGCTCACAGAGATGCACCAGTCTCTCTGCCTCCTGAGTGCTGGGGTTAAAGGTGCATGTCACCATGACCAGCCTAACTCAGATATCTCTTAAACACTGATCATGTATCTAGCACCATCCTGGGTTATCCTCCAGGAATTTATATTGTTGAGAGGTCAGATTGAGGTAGGAAGGGTGTAGAAGACCACATGGGGCTGCTCAATGGAACGTGGATGGAGTGCCAGCATTTTTATGTATGAGCAATGTGGTGGGTAGTCAGAGAAAAATCTGGGAGAGGTTGATTTTTATATGTCTTGAACAAACTGGCCAAGTGTGGGCGTGTAAAAGACAGGCAGTGGGCCAGCATGAACCAATTCACAGAGATGGGAGGATACCCATCCTAGGTAAGCCTCACCTTGAACTGGATCTCTCTTTAGAGGGGCGCTGGATCTAATTGGCTCTCCTCTACTCTTTTGCCTCCTTCACAGAAAAAAAAAAACTGTCTTGATGTTCTAAACTAATGTAGCAGAGTGCATATTGCTTAGATAGGCCCTTTCCCTTTTATGGAGGTCTTTGGGACTTGAATGTGAGGTACAGTAAGAACAAGGGACCTGGAAACTACTGCCTAGGACCCAATCTCAGCTTCCTGGCAGCACCTTGAACCTTTCTGAGCCTTGGTAGTAATGACAGTGATCTAGCTATTTGTCTAGCCCTTGGACTGCAAATTATAATTCTGATGGAAAACATCTATTTTAGTTAGTATGATACTGGAAGTACTGTATAATAACGTCTGCTCTTTGTTGAACAAGTCATGTACCTTACTGGCACTGTCTCTTATTCTCACAACTTCGATATTGTGTTATCCTCATCCTACAGATAAAATGCAGACATATGCCAAGGATTTTCTGTCAGGGAAATGATACTGAACTCAGAAATCTTCTTTGAGTAACTATTAGCCCCCAAGGATCCTGTGGAATGCTAGTTTAGATAATGCATGTTGGGACCACCTTTGGAATTTCCTTTACCTGCATTTTATCTCCATCTGCTGTGTTCACTAAGTTTTGCCAATTATTCTTTACGAAGAAGTTCATAAAATATATCCCTTATTTGTGATTTGTATGTATGTGTGTGTGTGTGTGTGTGTGGCATGTATGTGTATGCAGGTGTGGAGGCCAGATGTCAACTCTGGGTGTCCTCCTCTTCCACTCTACGTCTTATTTTTGAGAGAGTCTCTCACTGGACCTGGAACTCACCAACTGGTTAACTGGCTGCCTAGCAAGCTTCTGTGATGCTCTGTCTCCACCTATCAGTGCTGCACTTTGCAAGATGATGCTGAAGAACCTTAGTCTTCACACTTGCTCGGCAGGCACTTTACCCACTGACTCATCCCCAGCCCCTAGTCCTCTCCTGTTTTTTTTTTTTTTTCTTTTTTTGAGACAAAGTCTCAGGTAGACCAGGCAATTCTTGAACTTGGTACGTAGCCAAGGGTGATCCTGAGGCCCAGATCTTCTTGCCTCTATCTCCAAAGGGCTGGGATTGCAAGAGTGTCCCATCATGCTAGACTTAATTTTGAATTTTTGAAACAGGTACTCATGTAGCCCAGACTGATCTTCTACCTGTACCTCCCAAGTGCTGGGATTACAGGTATGCACCACTACACTCTTGTCCTTTTTATTTTTTAAATTAGTTTTTGGTTATCTTGCAAGAAAATGTGGGGTTTTTTTTTTGTTTTTTTGTTTGTTTGTTTGTTTTTGTTTTTTTTCGAGACAGGGTTTCTCTGTGGTTTTGGAGCCTGTCCTGGAACTAGCTCTTGGAGTAGACCAGACTGGTCTCGAACTCACAGAGATCCACCTGCCTCTGCCTCCCAAGTGCTGGGATTAAAGGCATGCGCCACCACCGCCCGGCAAGAAAATGTGTTTTATTGTAAAATTTTTGTATGCCCACATTATTGTATTTTATTTATTTATTTAGTTTTTTTTTGAGATAGGGTTTCTCTGTATATCTCTGGCTGTCCTGGAACTCACTCTGTAGACCTGACTGGCCTCGAACTCACAGAGATCCTCCTGTCTCTGCCTCCCTGAGTGTTGGGATTAAAGGCGTGCACCACTACTACCTGATTGTATTTTATTCTTATTTGTCCCCTGCATTTCTTTTCTCATTGCTATGACAAAACACTTGACAAGCAATTTAAGGAAGAAGGGATTGATTGATGGTTCATAGTTTGAGAATACAGTCCATGTTGGCAGTGGATGGCAGGGGACAGGTTTGAGCCACCTTGTGTCTGAAATCAGGAAGTAGAGACAGGTGAATGCTCAGCTCCTTTTCTTCTTTAAAAAGAACAAACAAACATGTTTTTGTTACATTTAAATTTTTATTTTGTGTGGTGGGGTGGGTGAAGTGTGTGGGCCCCACGGTGAGTGTATGGTGACCAGAGGACAAATGGTAAGGAGCCGGTTTGCAGGGCTGGATTCAGATGTCTCTCAGAAGCAGCCGTCTCTGCCTGTTTCTAGCTCACTGACTTCCTTTCTTCTTCTTCTTCTTCTTCTTCTTCTTCTTCTTCTTCTTCTTCTTCTTCTTCTTCTTCTTCTTCTTCTTCTTCTTCTTCTTCTTCTTCTTCTTCTCATGAAAAAAATCCCTTTTATTTTTTCTTTTTCTTTNTTTTTTCGAGACAGGGTTTCTCTGTAGCTTTAGTGCCTGTCCCGGAACTAGCTCTTGTAGATCAGGCTGGCCTCGAACTCCCAGAGATCAGCCTGCCTCTGCCTCCCGAGTGCTGGGATTAAAGGCGTGCGCCACCACCGCCCGGCTCCCTTTTATTTTTTTATTGGTATTTATTGAGGTCTACATTTTTCTCTGCTCCCCTCCCTGCCTCTATCCTTCCCCCCCTTCAATCCTTCTCCAAGGTCCCCATGCTCCCAATTTACTCAGGAGATCTTGTCTTTTTCTACTTTCTACTTCCCATGTAGATTCTATCTATGTAAGTCTCTCTTAGTGTTCGCATTGTTGTCTAAGTTCTCTGGGATTGTGATTTGTAGGCTGGCTTTCTTTGCTTTATGTTTAAAAACCACCTATGAGTGAGTACATGTAATAATTGTGTGTCTGGGTTACTCACTCAAAATAGTGATTTCTAGCTCTATCCATTTTCCTGCAAAATTCAAGGTGTTATTATTTTTTCTGCTGTGTAGTACTCCATTGTGTAAATGTAACACATTTTTCTTATCCATTCTTTGATTGAGGGGCATTTAGGTTGTTTCACGGTTCTAACTCCTTTCTTCTTTTGATTCAGTCCAGGACCCCAGCTCGTGGAGTAATGCCACCCACAGTTAGGGTGGGTCTTCCACCTCAATGAACCCAGTCGAGAAATTCCCTTATCGATGTGCCCAGAGGTTTGTTTCTGTGGTTACTAAATCTCATCAAGTTGGCACTCAGGATTAGCTATCATACCTCCCACAGCTGTCCTCCCGGCCCCACTCCTGACCCTTGCTGACTCCGTTCTTCCCCGAGACGAAACCCGTGCTTTCATGGTGTGTTTGTTTATAACCGTCTCTTGTTCCTCCTTTTCTCTTCCTTTTGGACCTCTTGCCTTAGTTAAGGTTTCTATTGCTGTGACCAAAAGCAACTTTGAGGAGAAAAGGATTTGGTTTTCATATCCTAGGTCACAGTCCGTTTAGGGACGTCAAGGCAGCAGCTCAAGGCAGGATCCGGGAGGCAGGAACTGAGGCAAAAGTTCTGCCTGCTGGCTTGTTCCCCTTGGCCTGCTCAGCTAGCTTTCTTATAGCACCCAGAACCACCTGCTCAGGAGTAGCACCACCCAGAGTGTGCTGGGCCCTCCCACAAAATGCCCTCCAACTTTGCCTACAAGACCAATCTGGTGATGGACATTTTCCCAATTGCAGGTCTGTTTTCCCATATAACCGTAGCTTTTGTCAAGTTGGAAAAAAAAAAAAACAAGGAAAGAAAGAAGAAAATAGCAGTGAGGACACCTGTCAATTCTTTTTCTGTGAGGTCTTTAAAATATTTCTTATATTTAATTCTCATAGCTCTGACTCTGTATTGTTTCCCTCACTCCATATGCAGCCCCAGTGTCCTCCAACCCAGTCATCATCGCATCTGGTCTTCAGCTCTCCCTCAGTAGTGTAGACACCAAGCATGAAGTTGAGACCAGATTCTGTTGAGCAAAAGACCCTGAGTGGTCCATGAGTAGGCACTCCTGCCTTCCCTAGACAGCAAGCAGGAGGAATTTGAGCACATGCTCCGTGTTAGGGTCTAAATTTAACATGCATCATAGTGTCCCTAAGTAGACCGTACTGCATTTGACACCCTGATAAGTGCCTCCTTTGGGAAAGAATGAGAGTAGTTTGTTAGCAGTGTCAATCACAGGGCTACAATTTGCAGGATTTTTTAAAAAAGTGGCATAGACATGAAATTGCCTCTGTAATAAATCCATCATCTCTCCCTTGCGACCCCACGTGCTGGTAGCTCAGAGGACAGGATCACCTGTGTTGAAATGTGGTCCACCATGGGCCAGCACAGAAAAGTGTTGAGGATTCTTCTTAAAAAGGTTTATGGATATTACTGTGTGTGAGCATGATGTATATAGAGTGTGAGTGTGTCACACACGTGCTGCTGTGTGTCTGTGGAGGTCTGGGAGTGTAAGTGTGGGCACACATGCCGCAGTGTGTCTGTGGAGGTCTGGGAGTGTAAGTGTGGGCACACATGCCGCAGTATGTCTGTGGAGGTCTGGGAGTGTGAGTGTGGGCACACATGCTGCAGTGTGTCTGTGGAGGTCTGGGAGTGTGAGTGTGGGTACTCGTGCTGCAGTGTGTCTGCGGAGTCAGAGGATAACTTTGGTAATTGGTTTTCTTCTATTATCATAGGACCCAGGGACCAAATTCAGGTTCCCAGGTTTGCATATCAAGTCTTTATCTGTTGATTATGCTTATATGTGTTGATTTCTATAACTAGTGCTGATATATACTTGATAACTTCAAGAAGTTTCTCCCCCTAATTTCCCTCCCCTCTTAAACTGCTAAAGAAATTGGACTTCAAGCAAATAAACCATTTTCCTCACATGATTGGTTCTATGTCAGACCAGTTTCTACCAAGAAGAGCATGTACTCCTCAGAGATGGTGGATAAAGGGCTCCATGTCTTTTTGCTCTTTGAGAATCATCTTACCCTGTTTTGTGCTTCCAGATATTCTTGGAGAACTTGGAGCATGAAGATACTTTTGTGTATCTGTCTGCAATTCAGGGTAAGCTATCATGGACCAAAGAGGGCATCATGTTTACTTGAGGGATACAACCACCAGATATGACTGTTCATTTTGTCCATCTTTCCGCTTCCTACGTGGGATACTCTGAGTGATAATAATGGCATTCTAGTGTTTCCATAGGGTTCTTAGAAAGTTTCAATGTCTCATAATGATGAAGTTTTATGTTTACTTTATCATTCTATAGATTAATGCCATTTCCTTGGTTGAGAGAGGTAAAGAACTCATCCGTAAACTCTTGCAATGTAACCTTTCATGGGGCCAGAGAGGTGGCTCAGCAGGTAAAGGCACAGGCCTAAGCCTGAGGCCTGGAGTTCCACATCCAGGATCCATGTGGTGGAGGGGAAGAGCTACAAGTTGTCCTCTGATCTTCATGGGACACACATGGGCATACACACACACACACACACACACACACGCCACAAGGTTTTGAGTTTTCAAATGTTTTTGGTTTCATTTTAATGGTTTTTGTTTTGTTATTTTTGGTGATTTTTTTTCTGGTTTTGTTTTTGGTGTGGGGAGTCGAGACCTAGGGAGTAAATCTAGGTCCTCACACATTCACAAGTAAGCACTACCCTCAGCTTCAGGTATTTAATATTTTTATTAATATTTCTTCATTTAAAAAACCACACACGCACGCACACACATACACACACACACACACGCATACACACATGGGGTGGAGAGATGGCTCAGCACCTGAGTGCATACTGTGCCCCTGCATTCATGTTAGGCACCTCACAATGACATGTAACTCTAGCTCCAGAGGATCTGATGCCCTCTTTTGGCCTCTGTGAGCATTGCATATATGCAATACCCATACCCATATACACACAAATAAATAGTAAAAAATCAAGACACATATGGGGCCATATGTGGTGACATACATCTTTAATATAGCATTCAGGAAACAGAGGTAGGTGGATCTCTCTGACTTCCAGGCCAGCCTGGGTCTATAGAGTGAGTTTCAAGACAACCAGAGTTACAGAATAGGGAGACCCTGTCTTCAAAACCCTAAAAACAAACAAACAAGCGTATATAGAGCAGGAATATAACTCAGTGGTAGAGCATTTGCTTAGCATGTATAAATCTCCCTAACACTGGGGAGAAAACATGGAAATCATTTTATTTCTTCTCTGAGGTTCTTTGTTCTCCACACTTCTATTGGTTTATAGATTCCAGAACCAGAGGAGAATAGAAAGTTAGGCACCCTTTCCAACAGGATCAGAATCACAGTGAGAAAGCTAGAGTTGCCTCAGTTTCCTTTGATGCAGAACTGAGATTCTGGAGGCAGACTGCCTAAGTACACTGCTTCTCAGCTGAACAGGCTTTGGCAATGACATTAGGCCTCTTGGGCTCCAGCTTCTTATCTGTTAAATGGAACTCAGTGTGTGCATTAGTTATTTTTCGTCATTGTTACAAAATACCTGACAAAAAAAGCACCTTAAGAAAGGAAGTGTTGCCAGGCAGTGGTGGCGCACGTCTTTAACCCTGGCACTCAGGAGGCAGAGGCAGGCGGATCTCTGTGTTCAAGGCAGCCTGATCTACAGAGGGAGTTCCAGGACAGCCAAAGCTACATAGAAAAGCCCTGTCTTAAAAAGAAAGGGTAGGGGAGAGGAGAAAGAGAGAAAGGAAAGAGAAAAGGAAGCATTTGTTCTGGCTCACAATTTGAGAGTATAGTCCATCCAGGTGGGGAAGGCATGGCAATAAGCAAGAGAGGATTGAGGGAGACAAAATGACCACCCCAGAGGCAAGAGGACAGCTAGGAGAGTTGAGAGTTTCCAGAGAAGTAACTGACCTGCAGCTGTGGAGGTCAGGCAGGCTGGGGCTCACGCAGGTGCAGAGACTACAGCCATGAAGTGACACTTAAGGAAACCAGAGAAACCAGTGACTGCAGAACCCAGGACACCTCTAAACATAAGCCTCAGACACCAAGTCACTTGTGTTTTTTCAAGGAGATGGTTTTCACAGACTTTCTTGTCTGTTTTTAGGTCTGAGTTTTTGAAAGTGGTGTGTCGTTCTAATGTGGCAACATTCTGCCTGGCAAAGGCTCAGCTTATTAACCCATTGATCTCATTAGCCTCTGGGATCCCCTATAAAAACTGCAGCTGTTGGTGTTGCATGTGTTTTTGGTGGTTTTAATTGGTGTGCTAATCAGTTAGTGATGAATAACAGGTCAGGTAGGGGGAGGTGGAATTTCTGTTCTGCCTCCCCAAGATGGACAAGATGTTTTTGGTGTCAGTTATATGTACTTAAAAGCCAAGGCCTTAAATGAATTCCCATTAAGAGAAGCAGGAGGTGAATTTTCCCACTTGTGTGTTACTTGCACAGGCCCAAGTTACTCCAAACATGCTGTTCTGGTCGTTTGTAATAAGGGTACTAGAGAGTACTCTGGGGAGCACTTAGTTTTGGGGTCTGTGAATGCATTTTAATCTTTCTTTTTCTCAATCTGCCTGCATGACTCTATGGATACTTCCCACTCAACTCAGTGATAGTCTGGGTTTTTTTTTTTTTTTTTTTTAAATATATTCACCAACTCTGTCTGCAGTCCAGGCAAAGAGCAGAGAGGGGCTGAGTATTCATTCCCACAGTAGATATCTCTTCTTGTCTTATTTAAGAATTCCTGCTACATGTGTTACCTGTTCATGTAGCAGTCTAAGAACTAAATCCCTGAATAGTTAAACTTGACTTTGTGAAAAGATGTCTGCATATCTGCTATTCATACCGGGCAAGTGCTGGAGCTAGTAGCTGCTGCAGATAGGAAGCTGTGTATAAAGTTGCTGAGTTCCCTACTGAGGACAGGGGCACACACCTTTAAAGCTAGCACAGAGAAGCAGAGGCAAGTGAATCTTTGTGATTTTGGGGTCAGCCTGGTTTACAGAGTGAGTTTGAGGCCAGCTGTGGCTACTGAGTGACAAAAAAAATCAAAAATTTTTTCAATGATAAGGAATTGTATACAAAGCAGAAGTCCTGTCTTTCCCAAAATAGGAGTTAAGACATGTCTGTGATTATCCCTTAATGTGTTGAGGGTTAAAGATTGTGTGTGTGTGTGTGTGTGTCTGTGCACATGTTTTGCACTTGAGGGTATACAAGCATGCATATGTATACAAGCATGTATGTGGAAGCCAGGTGTTGGCACTGGTTATCTTTGTTGATTACTCTTACTTCATTAACTAAAGCAGCTAGCTGAACCTGGATTTTTCTGATTTGACTAACTAGTCAACTCACCCCTGGGATTCCCTCTGCTGCCGCCTAACTGCTGGGATTACAGGTAGCTGCCATCTCCACCCAGCTTTTATGTGGGTTCTGGGGATCCAAACTCTGGTCCACATGCTTGCATGACAAGTATCTTACCTACTGAGCATCTCCTCAGCCTGCACTGTAAGACTCTTAAGGGCATGTCGCTCCATTGTGATGAATGTGGTAGACACATGAGTAATGTTCTTCAGTAAGCTCTTGTAGCCAGACAGTTTAGCCAGCTACAAATCTGCTCAGATGTCCTCGAAGTCATGTACTTGAAGAACAGTCTACATTTCAGAGGTCCCAGTGATCCCTCTGAGTGTCAAAAGAATCTTTGGCTATGTTGGTGTTGTTTTGAAGATCATTAGGATTGAACCCAGGGCACACTCTTAGGCCCAAAATGTCTTTGGATAAAACAATTATAACAAACAGGAAGAAAGAAGGAAGGAAGGAGGGAGGAAGGGAAGGAAGGAAGGGAGAAAGAAACCTATACACTGAGCCAAGACATGGAGGTGAAAGTATGCCATTGTGTAAAGGAAGGGATAGACATTTTGACATGCCCAGACAAATCACACCCTTTTCCACCCTCTTTTTCTTTTCTTTCAAAAGAGCCAAAGGGAACCAAGGCACAAGGCACAGAAGGGGGGCGATGAGTGTATATACACGATGACAAGATTTTTAGTTTCCAACTGAGCAGAATTACAAGCTTTAACTTGTCAGGCACCAACTTTTATCTTATTCTCAGATTTCTACCTCAAGTAAAGTAAGAAACCATTAGCTGAAAACAATTCTCTGTCTCTTAAGGATCATCTCATTGGATCTGGTGTGGAAATTTGGACTGTAGTCCTGTGAACTTTGCCTTCTCCATTTTTGTCCTTGAAACTGGAAGGTTTCTTTCTGCTCCAGTCTGGTTTCTTAGTGTCTCGCTGGCAGTGTCTCTTCTGTTTGTGCTTAGTAAAGTCATGAGGTTGGCAGGGAAGTAGACATTATCTTCATCCTTTCAAACTTATTTGAGATATAATTTACATTCCGAAAATGCCTCAAATTAAAAGGTGCAAGTCAGTGTTTCTTAGTATATAGAGATGTAACCCCAACATTTGGAAGGCCAAAACGGGAGGATCCAAAGTTCAGAGTCACCCTTGGCTACTTAGTGAGTTTAATGCCAGCCTGAGCTATGTGAGATTCTTTTTAAACCCCCTTCCCCCCACCCCTACAAAAAAAAGGGGGTCTGGGGAGATGTCACAGTTGGCAAAGTGCTCAGCTCGAAAGCCCAAGGACCTACGTTTTGCTGAGGGCAGAAGAGCTAAGTCAATAATATTTTTTTTAAATGGTGGCATCATTTTACATTCCTGCCAATAATAAACAAAAGTTCCACTATGCTAGCTAGCCAATACTTGTTAATTTTCTGGTCCATTTCTTTCAGCCATCCAATGGGTATGAAGTGAATTGTGATTTAGGTTTGTATTTCACTGATGATGTTGAACACCTTTTTTTTTTTTAAATCAGTTTTTGTCTGTTTTAAAATGTTCTTTAGAAAAATATCTATTCAGATTCTTTACCATTTCCATTTTGGGATGTTTTATTTATTATTGGGCTGTGATATTTGCTGGTGTATTCTGGAGACAACTTCCTTATCAAATGTATGATTTGCAGATATTTTATGCCAGTGTGTAGAACATCTTGTTCTCTTGTATGTGGTGCTGTTTGAAACATAGAAGTTTAGCTTTGATGAAATTTATTTG